ATCAGCTGTTTAAATAGCTGTCTTGCGAAGCTTAGGTCCCGAAAACACGGAGGAAGCTGTCAAAATCGTCGTCCAGTGAAAATCGGTTTGCGAAGCAGGGACCAAACATTGTCCAGCGAAATTCCCCCATAGGAACCACTGTTTTTCGAATCGCTATAGCAATCGCAAAAAGTCAATGTCTAGCGAGAAAACTGTCTTGCGAGGCACCATTATACTTTGGAGCAGAGCTTGGAAAAGTGACTTTAAAAAGTAGCTCAACCTCACAGGGCCGAGAGGAGGAGACCATCAAGTTTTCAAGGGAGGCTTCTCTGAAACAAGCAACTGCCGCCTTCCCCCCCCCAAGACACACACACACACACAAACACACAGAGGCGACCTCTTCATTTCACCATCAGGCTGTGAGTGCATTTCCATTAATCCACCTGTATATACCAAAGTCTCTGGTTTCATCTAGTGTCCATTTCAGCAATATACACCTTGGAAACATATGTTTCTAGGGAGTTTTTCCAGGCAGCAGATAAATGATCCTGTCGATATGGCAAACTTACTGCAATCTTGTTGGGATGGAACTAAGGCATGTGTCACCATAGCCAACTCGGACATTTCCTGGAAGAGGCACAACGGATGCATCAGCTTTGACGGTGCAGAGACATTTCTGACCACCGCCGAGACCTGATGAATCCAGGAGCACATCTAAGCTCTGAAACTAAATGTTCAAGGGGAGCATAACTTCCTACTTCTCTGATCTGCCTTGTGACCGACCACAACCACCCAGTCTGGAATAAACCTCAATTTGTTCACCTTCATCCATTACAGAGTCCAGACACGGGCTTAGCAGCAGAACAGCTTCCTAGGAATTAGATGAAAAGCATTCAGCCCTGATTCCAAAAGTGTTTGGGCAATCTAACCAAGCTTTTCTCAGCCATCATTCAGCTTGCATGAATTCCCACTGCTTCTACCAGAAAAAGCAGGCTGGAAGGTGGGAAGGGGTGCAGACGTGAATCAGATTCCTTGCAATTTCAAGTCGTTTATACAGGTCATGATTAAGAGTTTTAAGCACCAATCCAGAACACAACTAACGGTGCAGCACAAGGATCACCTGATTTGCTTGCAAAAGATCCAAAGTCAAATTTCCTGGGTCTCTACTGATAACGATCAGGGGCAATTCAGAATTGTTGGGTTTTTTTTAACAGAGCAGTCAAAATAGACAGTTATGGAAGAGACGAACCACTGCTCTGATGCAGCCGTGAGCAGCTCATGTGTTCTGACCGTGCCAAAATGCATGTATGTGGTTTTTAATGGGACTGATTTGTTCAGACATAGAGTGGCATATAAATGTCCTAAATGAAACAAGCCAATGAGACCATACTCACCCATTTGGGGAGGGAGGTGCTAGCTTTCCATTCTGGATTATGCCCAAACTAAGGATCACACCCCTATCTGTACGAGCCAAACCAAAAGGGAGGAAAAGGCGGCTTGTGACTGGCAGCAGTGTGTCCAAGGCTGAGGCCGTGGCATCTCCCAGATCTATGCCTGAGCCCCCACAGAATTACTCTCCATCCAAAGCCTGGTCTATTGGGGGAGGGGGGGTGTTTAGTGGCAGCAGCCCCAGCCTGTGAAAGTAGCCCGGCTGGATGAAAGCAAAGGACTGTTTCCCATCCAATATTCTCTTCCCATAAGACGCCGCTGGGGAATGTGCCAGCAGGACATGAAGCACATCCTTCTCTATATTCCCCGAAACGTGGTCCCGAGAGGAAAACTGAGTGACTCCACTCCTGGAGATCATGCTGCCACCTACAGGTAAATCAGCCCTGCCTCCGTCCATCATCATCGCTTCCCTTTGCTCCCTCTTCCTGTCCCGGTATCTCCTTTTAGAAGGACCCCTGGCAAAACTCTATAGCCAAGGTAAAGGTTCCCCTTGAGTCCAATCGTGTCCAACTCTAGGGCGTGGTGCTCATCCCCATTTCCAAGGCGTAGAGCCAGCGTTTGTCCAGAGACATTTTCTGTGGTCACGTGGCCAGCGCAACTAGACACGGAACACCGCGACCTTCCCACCCTGGTGGTACCTATTTATTGATTCACATTTTTACATGTGTTCGAACGGCTAGGCTGGCAGGAGCTGGGACAAGTGATGGGAGCTCCCTCTGTCGCGTGGATTCAATCTTACAATGGCTGGTCTTTCGACTTTGCTGCACAGAGGCTTCTGCGGTTTAACCTGCAGTGCCTCCACGTCCCTTTCTATAGCCAAACAAGCCACTGTTTTACAACTGCAATCTTACCGTTACCCCCCCGAGTCTCTCCAAATTACTAAGGAGAGCAGTTAGGAGAGAACTTTTTCTTATGCTTACCCCGAAACAGGGACAGTGGATGTATATAACAGACTGAATCCATTTTCCCCAACCTGGTGCCATTGATATGTGCTAGACGGTGACCCCCATCTTTTCCAACCTCACAGAATGGGGATGATGGGACCATAGTCTTAGGAGAACCAAGTTAGGAACATTCGGGAAGACTTGACTGGCAGGCAGCATAGATGAACAGAAAAAACATTATCCTCTATTTTGCACTCCCCATCCTATGAGGGGCGGAGCTTATAACCTCATCTTTGGAACAGTCTCCCGCCTGAAAGCCACCCAACAACCCCTTCACTGGGAAGCTTTTAAACGGTCACTGAAAACACAGCTTTTTAAATAGGCCTTCCTGGCGTCTACAACATCCAAACCCAGTGGTTCTTTCAGCATTTTATACTCCCCATTCCCCCCCACTTTGCCTTTAAATTCCCTTCATTTATTTCTAGTTTTTAGTTGTGCTGTTTGTTTGTTTACTTTTGATTTCTGGCTGTTATTCTGTTTATTATTTTTATATTACAATATCATTTATTGTTTGAGTTGTGAATCACACAGAGTGGCCCTAGCAGCCCAACGGATGGTATTTTAAAAAATTCAATAAATAAACAAACAGCACAGTAAAAGTTTTCGATGGGGCAGTGTGGTGAGCTTTCTTCCTCCCATAATTCTCCGTTGAATGTCGGTAGGGGCACACACCAGTTCTTACCTCATCCACTTGAGCCTGTGTTTGCTGGAGCCTTCGGTTACTGGTGAGGTTGGGAGGAGGAGGGGGAGGGCCACCCCCCTCTCCTCCGGCAGCAGGAGGGGCACCGGCAGGAGCAGGAGCCGACCTGTAGGCAAGAAATTGGGGTGGGGGGGAGAGGGAAGGAAGATTAATTCCCCATGATGTTAAGGAAAACTTGCATTAAAAACATTCAGACTGGTTTACAAGGGTGGAGGAAAACACTGCAACTCCCTAGGAAAATACAAATAAGTGTTACAAAAAGATAAGGAGGGACTGAAGATGGGAAAGCTTCGGATCAGGAAAACTAGTAGGTTAACTGCATGTCACAAAATCCCAAGGCGCAACTGCTTTACAGGGATGTGTCCCCCCTTGATCGCCTGTGTTTAAATGCAAGCGTCACTAATTCAAGCACCATCAGCAAATCTTCAAATATGGGAGAAATGCACTAACCAGCTGGATGCACGGACCCAGCCACAGGATGATGGGGTGAGATGGACCGAATGGCCACTGCTTATCATAAATAAAGACCATGTTTCATGTACTCAGGATATGCTATAACATACATTTATACCACTAGGTCGCAAACCTGGGCTCCCAGATATTATTGGGCTCTGACTCCCACCACAGGGAAGCCTGAGGAATTCTGGGAAGTGTAGTCCAAATGTTCCGTTATCCTTGCAACAGGCACCCTACAATGAAAACTACAAACAGCTAATCGTGCAAAAGTCCTTGCCGTTTTCCAGGACTCATCCTTAAAGGCACCATCCTCTCACCTTCCCAAGGTTGTTTCGAGTGCAACAAAACCTCGGCAAGTGCCAAGTTTAGAATAAAGTGCGTTATGTACGTCAAGTGCAAACACTCTTCCACCGCAAACGAAACAAAAACCTCCCAAGTCTCTTGTGTCCATTACTGTGTAAGGTACGGAATATTTTTCCCCCTCTAAATATTTTTCTTCTCTTTTTTTAAACTTTGCACCTTCATCCAAGGCCCTCAGGCGGTCCAGCTGGGCGTAGTGGGCCTAAACTCTAAATAGCTTGGCGGGATAAGATAAGGAGCTGAGTAATTAAGAGGGGAGATTAAGAGCAAAGGCTCTATATTTAATCCTTGGACAGCGTTGCACAAACCAAGATTAGGCACAAAACGACCGAGGCCAACCTTCGCAGACGCCAGACGTCCTACTGCAGGTGTACTCGACTAAAATTCCCATAATCCCCCCGCCATTGTAGTCCAACACATACAGAAGACATCAAGTTCAGGACGGTGGTTTACAAGGGGCAAGCAAGGCCAGCGAGGGTGAATAAAGTTCAAAACCCCAGGATCCAGATTTTCAAACTAGAAAGGAATGAGCTAGTTTCACCTACATATAGCAGAGGCTTACATATGTACTCCAAGAATGTCCATGTGAATGATCAGAGGACTGGACCCAAGGCCTATGGGGTAGAACTCGGCACCTTTAGCCTTGAAAAAAGACAATTGAGGGGAGATAGAAGAGCACTTTTCAAAGGCAGACATGCAGAGGAGGGGCAGGATCTGTTCTCTATCATGCCTGAGTGCAGGACACGTAACAATGGGCTCAAGCTATAGGTAGCCAGATTTCGGCTGAACATCAGGAGAAATTGTATTCTCAAAGGCTTTCACGGCTGGGATCCAATGGATGTTCTGGGTTTTCCAGGTTGTTTGGCTGTGTTCTTAAAGTTTTTCTTCTTCCGAACGTTTTGCCAGTCTTCAGAGGACAGGAGTCAGAACTCTATTTGTGCTCTGGTGCAGTTTGTGGGATTGTTGAGTATTTACAGATGTGGATCAGATTTTGTCCTTTTCAGGAGACTGGGTGATTATGGTGATCAGTGTGTTTTGTTGTGGGTGTACTGTTGTGATAAGGAGGAGAGATTATCTGTCACTGTGATTGATGGGTGTCATTAGCTGGTCTTTGGTGTGTAGTGATCACCAGTCCTTGTGGCTGGATAGGGTTTATTGACCTTGTGCAGGCTGTATGTTTCAGTGCTGGGAGCCAGGCTTTGTTGAGTTTTAGACTTTCTTCTTTTTTGTTGAAGCTTTGCTGGTGTTTGTGGATTTCAATGGCTTCCCTGTGCAGTCTAACGTAATGATTGCTAGAAAGTCCAGGAAGTGGCAACTGCGTTCTACAGCCACATGCAAGTTTGCTTTCTTGTTCTAACTGCTCTTACAAACTGCCATCACTTGTAAATTCTGTTTGCTGGGATATAAATTTGGCCTTCAAGTTGCAGGTCCTCATGATGAAGGAGAAAAAACAGAAAGGCATGCTGCCTCACCACTCTTCTGCATCCATTTCTATTTCTTTCAAAAGCAGTGACCTTAAAGGTTGGGTCTGTACTTTGGCTAAGAATGACACCTTCTGCTTTGAGGTTTAAAGTCATTTCTTCAGGAAGTGTAAACCACATTAAAAAGTCACAAGGCAAGGATGCGCCCACGGCTGCTCTCTGTCCATTTTCTTGGTTCCCTTATGATCGTCTATAAAGTACAAGAAAACCAACAACATTCACTCACGCCATGGAGCCAGTGTGTTGCTACTGCAGAGTGGGATCATCACAGCACACATAATTAATATGTGACATGAATAAACTGCACAAAGACGACTGGAAGGAAAACACGTATTTGTATCCATTTGGAGCTTTTTAACACCAGATGCATATGCCACGGGGCAAGAGAAAGAAAATAGGTATCATATTTTAGAGTCACAGTAATACTCACTTTGCATGCAAAAGATTCAGATTCAATACTGCTTGATTGGGGAAAAAAGGTGAGGACTTGGAAAAATCAATTTCAGGACTACAGCTCCCATAATCCCTTAGCCCAGCACAGTAACTACCAGCATGTGGAGACATTTCAGGGCTGAAAGAACAGCCAGCTTGACTCAATCCAATGCAAGTTCCCACGTGTCCTCATCGATCAGCTGGGTATGAAATTTTAAAAGGGAAAGAATCCACGACGACATGCTGGAATCAATCTAAGTCCACAATCAATACCTTTATTGGGAACAACTATACATTCACAAAACATGAAAGTTTTTGAGTATCCCAAAGTTTGTTCAATTCTAGAATTGTTGTACTGTATTCTCAAAGGCTTTCACGGCTGGGATCCGATGGTTGATGTAGGTTTTTCGGGCTGTCTGACCGAAAAATTGTTATTCCTCCACCCCCACCCCCAAATTCTGCTGGGCATATGGCTAGTTGCACCATTGTTTAAAAAAAAAAAACAAGTTTGGTTAACTTTTTTTTTTAACCTGTCATTAACTTTCTACCCTTTAGCCTAACAAGAAGTCCCAGAGAATCCAAAATCTTGTTAATTTTGTGAATGTATAATTCGTCCTAACAATATGGTCTTTGCCGACTATAGATTTTGGACTTGGCAAGGAACACGTAATAAGAGCAGAGCATTGACAAGGTCCTTTAAAGCCACTTCAAAGGTTAGAGATATGCATTAGGAATTCAATTTAAAAAGAAAAAGAAATCTAGACATCTCTGGAGGTGCCATAAAGTCAACCCTAGCTCAATATCTGTGTCACTGCACCAAGGCAGATATTGGCATCTATGTACAAAACCCACCATGATTACACTGCCTTCCCCCAACATGACACTGCTCTTCAGCTGTGTTGACTACAACTCCCATCACCCCCCAACCAGGAGGGGAAAACTCCACTGATAAAGTTGGCAAAGGCAGGAACAGCCATGATTCTTGAAGGTCTACATGTTTATCAAACATTGCATTGTTTTTAAAGGGCTGGTTTTGATAAACACTGTTTTAACGTTCAATTTGTTCTTCAATTGTTTTACATTTGCTTCTAAATCTCTTTATGTTGTTGACAAGTCCTCTTGAGTGTCATTTCTTAGCAGAAACGTGGTTTATAATGAATACACAAAACCAACAGGCTCTGAAGTTGGCTGACAAGATCGGAAAGGAGAAAAAAAATGAAAATTTCATGGCACTTTAAAGAGGAACAGATTTACTTCAGAGCAAGGTTTTGGGGATCAAAATCCTCTTCTTCAGACACACGAAGGCAATACATGTCCCCAATATTGGCACGTACCTGCCTAATGATACAGATAGTGTGAGAAAGTGACACTGAGGCTATCAGGCTCTTTACTTGAATTAGCACGTCCTGGCCAGGATGATGAGCTGGACGCCAGGTAGACCTGCCTATTATAGGAATGCTAAGAGTTATTTCTCAGACGGAGGTCAGAGTCCGTCAAGGGAGATTTTATAAATAAAAACAAATTGTAAGGCTGACAGGGGGAACGAGAGACAAACGAGTGGAGAAGGAAGTTAAGGGAAGAGAAGGAAAAGGTGGAGAGGGAGAGAAAGATTGGAATGGCGGATGACGGAGCTACAGTGGAGGGGTCCCTGGGAAGACGATGGCCAGAGGATTCCCCCTCAAGAGACCAGGTTTGGACAGATGACCGGGATGAAGACACAGTCCCCTTACTGGAAGGGGAGACAGGACAATTACTGAACTCGGATTTTACACTGGGCTGGCCGGGTCCCTGGAACGTTCAAGGGTGCAACCCCTTTAAAGCTGAAGACTGGAAGCCCCCATCTAACCAGTTGTTAGAGCGAAGAAATGGTTGGAATACCTTTGTTGACACAGGTTACAGTATTTGTTAAACAATCCAATAAATGTTACACCGATTTCTAAACCAAGGAGGTCTGTCAATTTATTTGAAGACAAACCGGAGCCAAACCCCGAACCTTCACACAAAATATTTTTAAACCTGTAACATATTACAAAATATTTAATTTATTTGAAGACAAACCGGAGCCAGACCCCAAACCCTCACACAAATAAAATAAATATTTTTATACCTGTAACATATTACAAAATATTGGGTTATTAACACATGTAGTGCACTAAGAAGCCTTGATCTCTATTTAGACCCTCAAAGATGCACTGGGACACATTCATGCAGGCAGCAGGTACTATTCCTTTTTGTAATTTATGTTTTTTCTACAATTCTGTTTTTCCTGAGATCCACAGCAGCCTGTCAGGGAGGAAGACAAAGCAATTCTGCACAGGAAAACAAGAAAGCCAAAGAGAGAAAGAATCCCTAGAATGAGGGGCAATGTCTAACACAAGGCTAAATCACAATTCTTGCAGGGTTTAGCTGCAAGGCTGAGGTTTCCAAACACAACTTCACGCCACTGAAGAATGCTATCTAAACAAATATCTGACTATCCCTTTGTTTTAAAAAAAATATGCAAGGCCACATTAAAAAAAGAGAGAAAGAGAGCTTTGATTGTTCACTAGTTGCTTAGAACAATAGGCTTTGGGTTTTTTCACCCCTACACTTTATTTAGCCTTGCATTCCCCCCCCCTTTTTTTCAAAATTTCCTCCCTCTAAAACAAGCAATCTGACAAAGTCCCCAATCAGTTAAATCCTATCAGCACAGCCTTGGAACCGACTGTTGATTATAGCCAGTTACCCACCAAAACCCAAAAGTTAACACATGCTCTCCAGGTCGGCCTTGCAATAAATGATTTAAACCAGGCTGTAAACGTTGGTGTGGCCCAGTCACTTTGCTAGGCTTCTTTGTAAGGTTTTTATTTAAGGGTCAGAAAAGAGGAAAAGGTAAATAGAAGACAGAGAATACTCCAGAAAACTGCAATTCCGGTAGCAGCTATAAGGTAGCCCTCTATTAAGGCCTTTTTCTTTGAAATCAGTCTTTGGTAGAACTGTTTCAAGCAAAATGGAGGAAGGTAATTAATTCAAAGTGCAGAAAAGGGTTCCTCTGCCTTGAGCATCATTTCCGGATCTCTGCATTATCAAGAAAGAAACCCAGGATAATTCAGCTTCTCTTAGCATGGGGAGAACATTTTCAATTCCGAGCATGAGAAATGTTACATACCACTCCTTAAGGCTTCTGCAGTATTATTTTATTTTTAAACCCCCGATGACTCCCCGGCACAAGGACAAAGCAGCCATTTTGGTCTTGAATGTTTCAAAGTAGGAACCAGGAGGCAAACATTTAAATTCCTTCCCAACGTTCCAATATGACCAGATAGGTGGGTTATAAATGGAATGAATGAATGAATGAATGAATGAATGAATGAATGAATGAATGAATGAATGAATGAATACATTTAAGGAGATGTAAAACCAAAAGAGAGACAAGAGGGCTATGAAGAGTCGATTACCCCCCTCCCACGGGGGAAAGAAACGAAGAGGACAAACACACGAAGAATTATCAATATGTACACCATTTATAAAACAGACCACATATGGTCCAAAGGAAAAATATGGTTTTAGAAATGGGGAGCAGAGAAAAAAAATCCAAAAGAAAAAATAACAGATTTTGGTGAAAACCTTAAATGGCACAAGTGAGTTGTATTGCCTGCCTCTAAATATGTAGAGATAGAGCAATCGTGAAGCTGAGACGGGTAAACATACAGTGTATGATGGAATTAAAAAATGCAATAGCTGGGAATGGTGTCTATACAGTAAATCCCCAAAAAAGAGGCCATACATAGATTCAAGACACATCATGGATCCTCAGCATTTAAAGAGTGGTCTAATTTACTTCTCATTATTTTGTAAGTAAGCAGGGTATCTTTAAATGCTAGGCCATCATCCCCCAAAGACACTACCCCACGAGATGCTGGACTGACTACAAAATCCATCACCCCCCCCCCAAGCCAATGCTACCTGGGAGTACTAGCAATGATGGAAGTGGTAATCAAACACATAGGTCAGGTATTGGGTGGGGTGAAGGCAAGACTCGCCCTTCGGTGTCATGGAGGCATTTTGAAATTAAATACAGTATGCAAATCGGTTGCTTCTCGGAAGAAATTAGAATGGTTAATGGTTCACACTGCCCCCCCCAAAAATAACAAATCTGAAGAGTAATATAACCGAAAAGGGGCTATATGGTGCAATTTCGCTGCTAAAATATGACCACAAATCTCTGAAGTATGAGGTTCATTATGTGAAAATGCATGGTTAAACATACGCATTTTCATACGTTTATGAAACAGGAAAACAAGTTTGGGGGGGTTTCCACATGAGATTTTTCTTTCCTCCCCCCCCCAAGTCTTCATTACATAGCATGGCTGCCTCTCCGGAAACCCACTCCTGTCAAGGGACTCCAGAAGAAACACCATCCCTGAGCGCATGCAGAAGGTAGACTGTCGGCCATCAACCATGCGCCAGCACCTCTGGAGGTAGGGAGATCAGCTGGCCCCACCACCTCTGCCTTCTCCCAAAGAACTCAGCCAGCAAAAAGGTATTGATTGATGCATAAATAATTACATGCATGGCCCACCTTTATCCTAAAGAAGGACCCAACGCGGCTTACATAATTAAAAGCCAATATTTAAAGATGAAACAATAAGCTCTCTCTCTCTCTCTCTGCAAATACCTCTTTATTCTTTTTTTCTTAAGAGACAAGCCATCCCACCCAAAAGGCCATTATTTCTTGAGCACACACACACTGCAACAACCCCAAATGGTGCCCAAAACAAGGGAGGGGGCTCTATTTCATCCTGATTTACACCGGTAGAGTTCAAATGCATTCTTCCCCAATCCATTTGACTAACCCTCCTGCTCTTTCTCTGTCATCCTCATCATCTCCCCTGCCAACACCTCCAGGTCCGGACCGTACTCCATCTTTCCCCAGCCAATCAAAGCAGCCAGTGACACTGCCTGGAAGTGGGGGGGGGACATGGATATTTTTAGTGCCTTCCATCTGCCTGCGTTTGCAAAAACCTCAAAATATTCAGAAGGATAAAGGAAGGGGAAGGCCATTTGTTTTAAATCATGCCCTTATCCTCCAAATTCCCTTTATTTCACCCAAACAGTCTTGTTCCTTATGGCTATCCAAAAAGCAAAGGTGGGGGGGAGCAGGTTTTAGAGGCAGACATAGGTCTGTGTTTATGATGCTTCCAGATGATTTCGGTCTGCCTTTGTCAATTTCAACCCTCAAGATATTTGACATGGGGGGAGAGGATTGCTAATATATACTGTACATATATACCGTGTTTTCCCCAAAATAAGACAGGGTCTTATATTCATTTTTCCTCCAAAAAAGCACATTACGGCTTATTTTCAGGGGATGTTTTATATTTTTTTTTCATGTACCACAATCTACATTTATTCAAATCAGAGTCATGTCATCTTGTGGTTGCTGCACAAGGGTGGAGGGCGAGGTTTCTCTTCACTGGGGCTTATTTTGGGGGTAGGGCTTGAGCATTCTGCAAAATCCTACTAGGGCTTATTTTCAGGTTAGGTCTTTATTTTCGGAGAAACGGTAGAAGAGCTTAAATATATATTTAAGCAAGATTAACACACCCACCCGATACACTCAATAGGGTGGGGATGATCCTAACCCCACGGAAAACATTTCTATATCCACTCTGATGCGTTTCCAATCCTTTTCTTTCATAGAGGACTGGAAACGGTCCTTTCCAACTCCTTTCCCCAAGATGTTTTTCATTGGGAAAAATCGAGAAATCAAGCATTTCCCTCGTTCTTGAAAAAAATCATTCTCTGGTGCAGATTTAAGCCCGTCTTTAAAACAAGGGAGGTGCCTGGAAATTGAGGGAGGGGATGGGAAATTGGAAATACTGCCGCCCCCCCCTCAACCCAGACATATCTTGGGAGGGGGGGAGAGAAAAAAAAAACACCCAACAAGATGACCTCATTCCTTCCTATCCGTGTAAAGCAAAAGGCAACATCAGACGCCCTTTTATTTCTCTCCATCTGCGTTTCTGCTTGGGATGGTCGGTTCTTTAAAATCGCCCAGATTCTCTCCCCACCCAGATGATTCACAAATAATAAAAAAAGAACGTTTATTGGCCTGCATCGACATATAGGATTCGGAGACAAAACGGAACGATGGGATGGGATGGGATGGGTGAAGGATATGGCTACGTCCCTGCCTTTTATTTCAAGAGTGGGGAGAAATCCAAAGCCCGATCGCCTCGCCTGGATCTTTTTGCCAGACGCCTTCCCACGTCCTTGCCTCGATCCATTCCTCCTCCCCCCCCCACAATCACCTCCTGCATCCTCTCCTAAGATCGCCTTAGGCTGCTGTGTGGGTGGAAGAAGAAAGACACAAAAGGAAAGGATAAAGGGTTCCGAAAGGGCACAGAGACCGTAATTTCTGCCATACCCCTTTCTACCTACCGCGATAAACCCGGTCTGCTAAAATGGGTAGTGAAGGGGGGGTCGCACCTCTCCAGTGCAAAACAACCCACTCCCCCCCCCGCCCAACCATATGCACAACGCTTAATGCAGCGTGGAGATAATTGCACGCTATGAATCTCCTTGCAAGGACTGACTCCTGTGGGGAAAGCCGCCGCCACCCCCGAAACCTTTGGAGGCGGCAAAAAAAAAAAGACTGGCAAGGAAGCCCCCGGGGGGGGGAAGGAAAAAAATCGTCCATGCAACCGCCTTTATGCACCCTCGGAAGCATTGCACGCCCGCACTCCTTTTGCATCGAGCCCTACTTACATGTCGG